CAATGATAAATAAGTCAATAAAGTACTTTGGGTTTCCTGTGTTGAGATTTGAAACAAGAAGCTTCTGTCCGTTCTTACCATTTACTAGGGCGTGCGTTACACTGATACGTTATCTGCTATCAAGTTACTGGTAATACGATTACCGGAAATTCAAGGTATCAGCACAGGAAACCCAGCTATATTTTTTTGTTTCTTTTAGAAAARTAACTTTGCTCTGTGGGTTTCCTGTGTTGTGATCGGTTTCCTATTACATAAGCTGTAATCAGATCTGCCCTATGATCAGATCGGCCCTGTAAACTGATAGCCGATTAAATTCAAATCAATAACCGTTGATGTTTTATTTCTTATGGGTTGCCTGTGGTGTGTAACGCACTTTTTAGTAAGCAGTCAAAAGAGAGTGTTTACTATAGAGAGTGCGTTACCAACGATTATTAATTTGAATTTAATCGGCTATCAGTTTACAGCGCAGATCTGATCACAGCGCAGATCTGATTACATCCGATCACAACACAGGAAATCCACAAAGAGCAAAGTTACTTTTCTAAAAGACGCAAAAAAATATAGCCGGGTTCCYTGTGGTATCAGCCTCTTGTTTCAAATCTTTCATTGGCTTCTTGTTTCAAATCTCAACGCAGAAAACCCAAAGCACTTTATTGATTTATTCGTTCATGTACAAATCCCAAAGCCGGGCTCCCTGTGTCTAAACCCAGCTCACGTTTCCTATTAGTGGGTGAGCACTCCAACACTAGGCGAATTCTGATTCGCAATGATAGGAAAAGCCAACTTTGAAGAATCAAAGAGCAACCTCGCTATGAACGCTTGGCTACCATAAGCCAGTTATTCCTGTTTAACTTTTCTGACACCTTTAAATTAAGGCCCCGTCCACACTGTGCCGGATAAATTTGAATCCGCAACTTTCACACCGAAACCGAAGAAAACGTTTTCCGTCCAAACAAAAGAAAGTAAGAAAATAGGAGGAAAAATAACACTCAGCACTGAAGTGTAACTGATAAATGGTAGGATGATTAACAGTGGGTGCATAAAATCGTTGGAACAAAAACAAGTCGCACAAGATTCTGAAAAGCGATCCAAGAGACTTTTAGAAATCTGATTACGAGAAATAGATAGTGTTGCAAAATAAAATTATAGCACAACAGCGACAAGGAAGTTTTTACAAAGCCAGAGAAGATAAATGCAGAGGGAAAACTATTAGGAAAAGGTTAAAATTGAAGTGAAACTTAAAGAGCAGAGAGAGCTCCAACCAGATGGGATATGATGTTTTCCATGTCAATTGTTTGTTTAACGAGGTAAAGTAAGTGGACATTACGTCTTAGTGGTGATTGACATTCATTCGCGCTGGCCAGAAGTAATTCTAATAGGAAAGACAGATGCCAAACATGTAATCAGTGCCATAGAAGCAACATTTAGAACAAATGGCTTACTTTTGAGTATCCGCAGTGATAATGGTCAGCAATTTATATCGAAGAACTTTGAACAGTTTTTGAGACACCTAGGGATAGAGCACAAGAAAGTACCTTATTGGCCCCAGAGCAATGGAGAGGTAGGCAAAAAAATGATGCAAAACACTGCGCATTTAAAGAAGCTCTTAATTAACCAATTTCCTGCAGTTTTCCGTGGAATGTCCTCTTGTATACCATGATTTTTGTCATTTAGCCGTCAAAATGTTGTCAACGCCGAGGGAGTCCTTTGAAGGCTAGATGAAAAAAGTGGTAAATAAGAGGGCATACCACGGAAAACTGGAGGACATTGTATTTTTTACCACAGAAAATTAGCAATTTTACTACAAAAACAAGGGTAAAAATTGAAATAAAAAAGGTTTCAAAAGYGCGTGCGTGATTTGCTGACGAAATTTATTGGTATGTCCCGGCTCTAGACCAATCAGAAAGCGAGAAAATTCACAAATGTGATAAAAAGCCTGATATATTCAGCATTCCCCAACAGGATGCTAGCTCCGGACTCCGGAGAAGTGGATAGTGACACAACACCAACGAAGACGAATGTTTCCCRACACAATGCCATTCCTCAAGGAGCAGAAAGTGATACAGCACCGCTCGCTGTAGACGGCTCTGGCCCAGAAGAGGATCCACAAGTATTCCACAATGCATTGCGAGTTAGACATAACGTTTTTCTATATAAACGGCTAAAATTGATGTTTTCGAAACTGAAAAATCAATTGTACACAACTAGTTTCTTTCATACCTTTTAATGATATCTATTTATAAATTTTTCAAGAGATTTAAAGATACTCGACAAAATACTGAAATACTTTTTGAGTAATTTCAGGTTCAGTACAGATCCTACCAGCTAGGCTTAAGGATTATGTCTGTGAGTAACTAACATTAAAGTCTTCTTTAAGAAGCACCTAAATTTTTATTGGTGTTGTTTTATAAGTCACCATATACCTTTGTATACAGATGAAGTTTAATATTAAGTAAGGAGGATCCTTATTTAGGAAGGCTGCGTGAGATCCACCATTTGGAATAAAGTGTTAATGACAGAAGTAACACGTGTGGTTTTTCTCTCTCCCTAAATACCACATTTGCACTAGTTTACACAACTGTTAGGTGTAGATCTCCCCAGTACACTTACCTTACTCTGTCCTGATTGTCAACAAAATGAGCCTGGTGACTCATGACACCTATAATATAGGAACACGTCATCAGGCTTAGTTTTAGATTATGTTGCTGATCAGGAATAAGTGAGGTAAATGTGTTCAGGAAATCTTCTCCTAGGGAAACGGACAGGCTCTAAAAATCCCATTGGCTCTTAAACAAAAACTCAATTTTTGTTATACTTTTCGGATTTTGCTAGGCCTAAGTCCTGATGTAGATGGTTTATCATCATAACATATCCGTTTTACGCCCTTTAGCATATTGGTAGTTTGAGGAATATTGTTCTCTTCATCTGATTCTGATTCAGAGCTTGAATTGGTATCAGAATCCAAAGCCTTTTCCTTTCCAGAAATGTTAACATCATTCTCGTCATGTTTCTCAGCCAATTCCTGAAAACCCAACAAGTACAATTAAAATTATATCCAAAAGTTCTTCAACTGTCTGGAATTGCAGCAGTCAAGAGGGTGGTAGAGTACTTTAGAGGATAGGAAAGTTCAAATTATGCAATACCTCATTTTGAGTTTGATTTGCTGGAGCTCCATCTGTGGCATGGGTCAATGTCCATTGTTTTGCTTTGTCAAAAAATGCTGAATAATTGTAACGAAATTCATTAGCCTGAAATGGAAACAGACAAAAATAAGATTACATTATCATCAATTTTAATTATTTAATTAAAAAAGCATGTCATATCTAAGAATACTAATAAATGAACAAACATATGAAAGACAGATGACCATGGATGTACCCCTAGGAGGGTCAGGGAGGGCCAGGGAGGGCAGTGGGAGTGATGGAATTCACCAATACAGCATGCAAGATTAGATGAAAGAAGTTGCTTGAGTGCTTTTGGCATTCTTAAAGTAAAGATTAGCCTTTTTTCTTCAGCTTTCAAAAGAAGTAAAAATAAACTTGAATGGATTAAAACTAGGTTAGAGTTTTATTAGGTTAGGAGTATCTAAGTTGTATTTAACCCGTCTTTAAATTCATTAAAGCTGTTTTAAACAGTTCGCTGGGTCTACATGTTTTCCTGAACCGTAACACCATATCCTACTCATTAGCCAAGCTGTAGGCTCTGGAAAACCCTAAAGACCAGAACCAAAACTGCTACCTTATGTCAACAGAGCACATGCTCACCTAATCGGTTTTTGCTAAATTTAATGTGCATAATTTTTAAATCTCCCCCAAGATCTTACTTTTATTTTGTTTCTTGGATGAAAAGTCTTGCTGTTTACACACTCAAATTGCTTTTCTTAGCTTTTATGCAATGTGATATACACATTGTCAATTTCGTTATGCACAGGAGGGGGACATTGGGGTGTGTATGTGTTTTGGTTGATTCTTGGCCCAGTGTTTTGCAGAAAATTTTATTTTCGAATATGGTTGTTCAGTTGTGTCTGAAAGACAAAGTGCCACTCTTTACTCATATAGGCTATGTTGTGGGATAACCCAACAGACCAACATGYGACTTGATGATCAGTGGGACTATCCCACACTGATGAGGTATCAAGTTAACACTTGTCACTTTGATTGGTTGATTTGCGGGATTATCACACAATGATAAAGTACAGTAAATGATACTTACAATGTCAGCCATTAGAGGATCATCTGGGTTGGGTTTGTCCATCAAGAGAAGAATAGATGACAAAATCGAACCAATGTTTAATGCTGGTTTCCACATCCCCTAAAATCACAAATTCAACCATAAACAAAAACAATACAAATGGTGGATCTAGTGGGGTTCACAAGGAACCCATGTGCAACACCCCTTAAAACTTAGCAGTAGTTGAGTCAAAAGACAGATGAAAGTCTTAAATCTCTTGGAGTTGTTAGATCAATTTTCAGGAGCAACAGCTACAATTTATTACTGGAAAATAAACATGAAACTAATCAAACAGACTTACTTTAGGGGGCATCTTGATGATATCCAAGCATATCCTACCACTATTGTCAATATTGGGATGATAAATAGGTGTGACAAACCTCATTTTGGGTGGTTCAAATGGGTATCTGCATTGCAAAGAAAAGTTTCTTACACATTACAAAGATCTACTGTATAAAGGTGATTTTGTACTAAGGTCTTCGAGATAATATTCCTTACAACTTGACTCATARCTTTGTTGCAGTATTGGCATATTGTTTGGGCAAAATACAATCAATTTCTCTTTTTGCAATCATAGAAAATTTTCTTGTATAATTCCAAATTACTGCTGTGTTTCTTGATTACAGACTCATTTGCACATACAGGGTTAGCCTCAAGTTTGTGCAGAATATCCACGTGTTCCAGTCAAGGTCCGTCGAGTTTCAAAATGTTTGAAATAATTGTACTAACTATTCATTAGGGTGAAATGAAACCCAATGAAATACAAGACTGGGATCACATGAGAGCAATATTCTTTGTTTTGGCCTCCCTTAATCATAATTGCGATGGATAAATGGCTGTCAAGTCACATGAATCTATTGCTTGCTTGACTAGGAATACACTCTGCCCTATGTAAATTTAATTGTCGAGTATTGAATGGCCAGTAACACTTAAAGCGCATTTGAACATAATAATTATACATGCTAATTTGCAAGTTAAAACTTTAAAAAATATTATTATTGTTATTATTATTACTTAATGATTATGTGAACAAAATAGTTATCATAATAAGCAATTAGTGGACGAGGTTTGGTAAAATATCATGATTTGTTAGTGGAAATAACAACATCTCGTGATAACCAAGTTCAACTATATCATAACTGTTTTATCATTTAAATTATCTTTATGTTGCTGCATATAAGTAGACTATTATTTGCAGCAAAATTTTCACTTTTCGCTGTAATGTGCATAAGCAGGTTATTGTTTGTAGGCAGTTATTTGCAGTCATCTCGGCCAATCAAAATGTCAGAAAAAAATAATATTTGAATAAAATTTTTTGATATCATGCTCTGCCTCATCCAATTTATGACTATGCAGGCTTAGCCTTACTTCTTAAGTCGGTAAACAAAAGCAGAAATTAGAAGAACAAAATAAGCAACTTCTTGATTCAAGGCTAGGCCTGAATACAGTGGAGCTTTAGAATTAAGAGTCGTCAATCATTGTTACATTTATAATTTTTTTATCTGCCTCATCCCATGCCTTTGGTCTTGATAGTTAACAATTGTTTGCCGAAGGTCAAGTGAATATGAGAGATTTTTTACCAAGCTATGAGACATTATGAGTAAATATCCCCCATATTTATTAAGTCTGAGGTGAATAATAATATTGTCTTAGTACAATTATTTTAGACTTGAAAAGACAAAATTCAGGACAAAGAAAAATGTTTTTAATAACTTCCAATGTGTCAAACTCTGGGAACCTCATAATCACTGCTTGAGCAGTAAATATCATCTCTGAATCACTGGGCACTCGACCTTGAAGTCTAAAATTATACTAATTAGCAATTAGCCCTCAAGCCTGAGGACTAATTGTCTTAGTCAAATCCAACTTGTCGGTTAAATATATAGATGCAAACAATTAACGTTAAGTTTAATTTTTAGGTTTTGAAAGCCGTCTCTTTTCGCTACTAGCAGTATATAACTTATAGCCTAGTAGTAGCTCATCCAATCAGAACGCAGTATTGATAATAGACCACTACACGTAGCTGTTGCTATCATATACCCAAGTTATCTATCTTTCTTTTATTAAAAAAAAAAAACACACAGAACACACGATTTGCAAGAGTTAAATAGTTTCTTTATGCGATTGGGTTGAGACTGAAGAAATTTTATAAACTAAAGCATATATAACCTTTCTGGAATCTGTATATCAATCTTGAAGACTCCTCCATGATATGGTGTGCCATTAGCTCCAATGATCTCTGGCAGAAAATACAGAAAATAGTAACAGTTGTAAGGAAAAATCGATGTAATAAGCAATTTACGAGTTTTTGGTATCTTACTTAGCCACTAAGAATTAAGAAGATTTTATAAAATTAGTGGAATTCATTTGTGGACATACTCGCTTCAAGATGGTGCAGCTCGTCACCCACAGCCCAACAAGACACTCCATGAGGCGGATCTTCTGCCAACAACTTTAATTCYCGCTTCATTCTTGAATTTCTTTGCATCTTGCTATTCCAAATCAAGTCCTAAAAATCTAGTATCTTTGAATCTCCCTCAGATCGAGAACATCCTTAATTTTTCTAGAGGGTACATAATAAAATGTTAGTAATGCTTTTGGGTTTTCGCGCCAAAACGTCTTGCTTTCTTAAACACATCCCCAGTCCTTCTCTTCATTTTTGAAAACGCCTGCTTGTTTCTGCATATCCGGATCAATATCCAACAATACATCATGATACATGAAATCGTAGGTTTTTATTGTATTAACCGACTAACCTAGAAAGTGAAATACTGGATGGAACCGAAAGCGAATTTAACAAGATAAAAGGCTGTTGCGTCTTTTAGATTACATGTAAAAACTTTGAACATTTCTCCTTTAGATGGAAGTTGAATATCGAATTTCTTTTTTGAAGTTATTAATCTTTAACACATCCATTTCGCAAGGAAAAGTCAGAGTTCTTGCTAAAAGATAACGCGAACTTGATATTTGGGCTAACAACGCTCATTTATCCTTCCTGGATGGCTGGAACCAAAGTCATTTTGTTATCATTATCATGCTGTCTTCTCTTGGCCACGATAAAGACCGAGACCTTCCAATGGACTGAGAATGTTGATACGGACGCCAGCTTTTCTACTTGTCAACATTCAGACTGCTTAATGATTAATCGACACTCCAATTTAAGTATTCGAGAGTTTGTTGAAAACTACGATGGAAAAAGGTAGGAATATATTCCAAGTAATCGAGCATGATGAACTGTTTATCTGTTGTTTAAAAAATGGTCAAATAAATTAAAAAGATATAAATGAATCAGGGAAAAAAAAGTAACGAGCAAACGAAGGAACAAAGAAACGAACAAATCCATTTATTTATTCATTCATTCATTCATCCCTTCCTTCCTTCCTTCCTTCCTTCTTTCCTTCCTCCCTTCATTCATTCATTCAATAATATATACATATATATTGTATATTCTTTCTATATTTCCATATAACTTTGAAGCCATGCTTTTTGAAATGCAGCTTTACTGTGTATGTATCTTTCCCAGTATTTCAAATTCTYGTTGCTGGCCGTCCGTTGTTTTAAATTCAAAGGTTCAAAGGGAATTTGCATGCTTCTTGTATAATAGACTGCAAGCATCATAGGTTGACATTTTCCTAGATCAGCTTATTCTAATAATACGTACAGTATAATCATTTGCAATTTACTTTCATTGTTTCAGACCTGTTCTTATAACAGATGTTTTAAAAAACTTTGGAGCTATGAATTGGAGTAAAGAATATTTTTCCAGTCGCTATGGAGATCAAAAGGTTTTTATGAAAGCTGTGCAAGTAAGGCATAATTTTGTTAGATTAGAACTGCATGGTGTTTTTACATTTGGGTTTTCATCCTTGTTTTGACAGTGAGCGAAAAAGGCTGAAAGAATTGATTTTAAGTCTTCATAGCCTCTTCATAGCGTCAGAAACTTAATTTAGAATAATTATGATCAATAAGGTTAGTAATTCTTGTGCATAAAAAAAGGAAAATTGGCTGTAAAAACCTAGAAAAAGCAAAAATTTAGTATCTCCTCAGTGTAATTCTTTTAGTATAATTAGCTTGTATTTTTATTCCATAAACCTGAGGCCCAGACAGYGTCTGTGTCCTCTTCATTCATCCACCAGCAAGAATCCTCAATTATTTCTTCTGGGATTGATATTTCAACTTGTTGTTTTAACAATAATATAGCTCATTATACCTTCTCTTATCTTACTTGAAATAAAATGAGTATTCCAAAGATTAAGCAACTAATTGAAATTTTGTTATTCTTATTCGAAAAAAGACTGGGTCCAAGGGTGTTTCCATGGCAATACTATCAATAAACTTATCAAACTGACTGTTTTGCCCTGCACCGTATAACAACCGAAAGATGCAGCCATTATTTCAACAAGTTTAATTTATTTGTAAAAAGCAAATTTCAGTAGAAACATGCTGTCATCACTTCTTATTATTTCCAGGGAGCCATGCATCAAGCTCAAAGCTTTGCTGTTAGTATTGATGTATATAGCCAGCATTCTCACGAAGGAAAGCCAAGTCTATGGACTTATGTTGAAGATGAGTTATTCATACAAACTCACCCCGAGCTGAAAGATGACTTGAAAGATTTGGTTAGTGACAATACAAATTAATAATCCTGAATATACCATGCTACTGTACCTCTCATCACCCTGTGCATCAAAGATTCACTCGCTAAATCTTCCCTTGTTAAAAAGACTCAATTAATGGCTTACAACTGAAGTTCCAGCATATCAACTCAGGCCCATAGCAAGGCTTAGAAATGTAGAGGGGTGCAAACGATAATTTTCCCCCATAAGACCATAATAAATAATATTAAATAACAATATTAGCCAAGGCACAGCCGTAATTTAAGAAAATTGCGCCTGCAAGCGTTAATGTAATTTGTGGCCATAAATGACTACTGGACAAAAATGCAACCTTATATCTAATATTAAGATTTGTTCCCACATGTTTTCTTGCTAAGGGCCTGCAGCTAGATGTGATATCAGACATGGCTTGTTGGTCCTCTTTCAAGCACTGCCCCCTATGCTCAAATTTTGTTATCCCCGCTTGCAATCCCCACTCTTAAGTAAATGTAGGCCTTAACTGGATATACATACTTAGTATTCTAAAATTAAATTTCAAAGTGATGCAGTTATAAGGAGATTAATATTCAGAAAATACATTTTACAGGAATACTTAAAAGAGGATTTTTTTCAACTCCTACCAACTGAAGTACGGCCCTGGAATGCAATGCTTCTTTGGGGAACTCCATACTCGAGATCATCTCTTCACATTGGTTAGTTTATGGACTGTTCTTAAAAGTTGAAAATCTTTAATTCAAGGTTAACATGGAAATACAAAAGAAATGCCACAAATTCCATCAAATAAACAAGTGATTTCTTTTGCGTTTTTATATCCATTGGATGGTCATCTTATAGAATGAATGATTATCATAACCCGAAATGATTAGTGGCTAGAACTACTATATGAAGGGAGTTGAATGGGGTAGCTTACATACAACAACTTCTAGTCTACTCTATAGGGAGTTGGGATGGCAGATTTCCATAGAGAGTGGGCCAAAAAAATGTTTCCTTTCTAAGCCGTTCAAAGGAAAGTTTTGAAAAGCATAGGTCTCCCAATTAGTAGGGTATGTGTGTCCATCTATAAGCTTAGGGATAATAATAAAGTTATTATTATCATATAATTAATTGATTTAATTCTTCCTTTCTTGGAATGATATTTTTTAGATCCATATAACTGGACAGGAACTAATGCAGTTTTCTATGGATCAAAAATATGGAAGGTTGGTATTGTTTAAAACTAAACAGAAAAACATATACTGCTATGAGTATAATAAGGCTGCGTTTATAATGTATGGCAGAAGGGGGGAGGGGGGGGCAGGTGAAAATGTTCAGAATAATTCTTAACACCCCCCTTAAAATCATTCAAAAAAATATGATCCCCCCTAAGCAAGGCTTGTAGCTTCTTCCAAAAATTGTGCATCCCCCCCCATTTTTCTGATAATTTGCCCATCTTCCCTTTTTCCTACCAAAATTTTTCCGATCCCCCCTCAATTTCACCTGTCCCCCCATATGCTGTACATTATGAATGCAGCCTAAATAGCTATTGAATTCTGCCTACAAGTTTGATAAAGGTTAGTTAGAGCTCAAATTTAATCTCAAATTGTAACGGTTACTTTATTATCACTACACTGGGCCTAACAGATACAGTCCTACTTAAATGTGGAGTGTTCTTTAAGCTGTTCACAGTGATCTGTCTATAATTACCAAGGCCGTCGTAGATTAGATTACTTTTTCGTGTCGGATGAACTGCAACCATTTGTAAAAAAGCGTGATATTATTCCAGCCAACAGACCACTCTGCTATCCCTGAATGAAAGAACCGTTTTGGAAGCTAAATAATTCATTACTTGAAAACAAAACATGCGTCAATGAACTAGGAAATCTGCTTGAAAATTTTAAAAGTCTCTTTTATTAAGATGTTTTGTTTGTATGTGGTCAGAAGTGAAACACGATCTAGTCAACTGTATAAAAAAGAACTTTAAATTGGGATCATTCTCAAGTTCTCAGAGATAAATAATAGTAATATTAGTAGAAAATTAAGTAAAAGATAACAGATTTTTGGATTCATGGCGACTAATAAGTCTCATCAATGTCGATACAAAAATATGCGGTAGAGTAATTTATAMGTAACTTGTTAATATATTAACGTATTGAGAAACAGTCCTAAACAATATTGCTTCTTTTGAAGCTGTACYCTCCTGGTCAAGATGAATACCTTTATGTCTATGACAAACAACGTTGCAAATTCCCATTGGATTGCTTCAAATATAACAGGTAAGACCCAAATAATGCCTCTATGCACATGGCCTAGCTAAGAAATGGTAGAATGACACGTGTCATGAGTTGTGAAAACCTCGGCCATTTTCATTTTACGAGCGTTGATCTTGTCCGCGATTATTATCTCCATATATCTGTACAGTTACCATGCGTCAATCAATTATTAGTTATGTTGAATCTGCCTAATATTGGAAAAATATAAAATACTGGTAATGTTGGCTGCCAATATCAATATCTTACAACGGTCTAAGACCTTAATTTTCTGATTGACAGAGTTGGAAACTCCGGACTAGAACTTTACAAGATCATCATTGAAACATCGAAAGTACTCTAAAACATTAGGCACAATCGTGCAGTGTTTATCAATTCTCTAGTAACTAACTAATATTGTATGGTTATCAATTCTAGTGCAGTTGATGCCTTTGCTCCAGATCACAAGACGTATCCAATGTTTCATAAAGCCAAGGCCATCACGTTAACTCAAAAGGCTGGTGAACTTTTGATCATTCCAACAGGATGGTTCCATCAGGTGGTTATCACCATTACTATGATTTCAAATATTTCCACCGACAGTTATAAATAGCCACGTTTGAGTAACAATTAAAATGATTTTAAATATTACGCAGACTTGGCAGTTTATAACTGTCTGTGGAAAGAAGGTTTTTTTTTTCATTTGCGCAAGTTACAGTCCGGCGTTCTCAGTAACGCACGGATTTGTAAGATTTGCCGCCAAACCAAGTAGGTTTACATGGATGGCAATCAGGGCGTTTGCATGTCAATCCATGGGCTTCTGCCATTGAAACCTTGTGTTTCTCTGTAATTTTACGGTATTATTTTGAAAGGTTTTTGGTCGAGATTCGAGTGTCGAGAGTAACAGGTCGAGAGTCGAGGGTACCAAGTCGAGAGTCAGGTCGAAAGTCGAGAGTACCAAGTCGAGAGTAGCATTATATCATATAATTAGCAATTATTCGCCGAAGGCGAAATGACGATCGGGGAATATTTACCGAGACGCGAGTCTTCGAGCGGTGAGACAAATATTCTCCATATATTCACTGAGCCTGAGGCGAATAATTGTCTTAGCATACACTTATTTCAATAAAGCTAGTCACCAAAAATCCTAGAAAGCTGAGATCACTGAGCATCATGGGAAACTTTTCATATCAAAAAAGCATATATATACAAAGCTTTATTAATACAAACTGCAGCTCGATGATGCTCAGAAGAGGTGAGACTGTAACCGGTAAAAGATGCSCAAGTCCATGAACAGTTATCGAGGTTGAACTTGTAAARTGAATCTACCCATAATCCTTGTCGGCCTCAGCTTTATAGCTTTTGAGGTGACTAACTTTATTGAAATAAGTGTATACCAACTTGTGTACAGAGTAAGTTATTTTTATATACAATAATTCAATAAAAACAAACAAACAGAAACTTTTAGTTTACGTGCAAATTCACGCAAAACTTTGAGCAAAACGTTTAGGCCATACTTCGTTACCTTTTTAGTATTGATAGGAATGGCATTTACTTTCTTTTTTTCAATTTTCTCGTCGGAAATTGTAGCAAAACGATTGCCGGCAGATGCCATTTTGTTGCCGACTCAATATTCCGATATTCAGAGGTGAATATCGTATAATATTCACCTCCAATTAACCAATGAGCGCGCGCGTTCTTAGGAAGTACACAAGTTGGCATATGCTAAAAGTTAATAATTAATATGAGCAACACGCTTTGAACAATGGCAAAACAAAAAGGGAAAAAAAACAAGAAAAAGAAACCCTAATCCCAACCTCTCGACCCTCGAACAAAAACCAGACTCTTACTTTGATTGATCTCCATCAAAACCTGTCCTCGCCTGTCTTTGAACCTCATTATCTGCTTCAAATGGTGGTCAAACACTGACCATCATGTGCTGTCAACGAGAAAGAATCCTATTGAAAACTTCAGCTGATGTACATTCCACACAAGACAGGAAATGCCACCGTGTTCGACCATAGTTTTTTTAAACTATTAAGTATGGCTTGACTAAGCGCCTTTTAAAAGAGTACTGAATTTTTAAAGTAATGAATGTATTTATTTTTATAGGCTTTCAATCCAGAAGAAACCATAGCTGTTAGTAGTCAAGTTATGAATTCACAGAACTACAAGTAAGTCGCCCTGACTAAGGCTGTACACATCGTCATCATCATCAGGCTGCTCACATAGTCATCGTCATAGTCACTAATCATCATCATCAGGCTGCTCACATAGTCACCGTCATAGTCACTAATCAACATCATCATCATCATCACTATCATAATCATCAGGCTGCTCACATAGTCATCGTCATAGTCACTAATCATCATCATCAGGCTGCTCACATAGTCATCGTCATAGTCACTAATCAT